GGATGGGGCTTTGAGCAACCTGGTCTAGTGGAAGGTGTCCCTGCCTATGGCAGGGGGGTTGGAACTAGATGACCTTTAAGGTCCCTTCCAACCCAAACCATTCTATGATTCTATAAGATACTGTCTTTTAACTTACATATCCTGTCTCAAATTATAACCAGAACATTATATAAATTAATAGAATTTGTCAAATAGTAAGCATCATATTGGTTTGGAGTTTTTTTCTTTTCTAGAGTAAATTGAATATCCTCCTCGCTTCTTGCACGCAATTCAGAAAAGCAGAAATGTGAATTTCACTCTGTATCTGTACAACCACTCTCACTTGGAGTTGCTACGTAACTGGAATTGGAAAGCCTTACCCAGCATTCCCTGAGAGTCCCATGTGTATTCATACCAGGTTCGAACACGATTTTGCACCACTTTTGGAATAGAGTAAGTGTTCATATAGGAGACAGTGTTGTCCATACTGGAACGGTAGTAGTTCTGTCCTGCTGTAGCTGCTCCAATTACATCTCTCATCTGCAAACATCAGTTGTTGTTACTACACATTTCAGCAAAAATAGTCTTGATTTGAATATCTCGTCAACCATATATAAAAAGAATAAAATACTTGTTTGCAAAATCACTGATTAATTATACATTCAGCTGCATGTTTTGAACAGGTGCTTCATCTGCTTTTTCAGAAGCATTACAGATTTAATCTAATTGTGTTGGAAAGTCTATATTTATGATTTTAAAAGAATCATTTGTGGGTTTTAGCTTATTCTTCTACCTCATATTTCTGGACATGCAAGAAAAATATAGATAATGTTTTTCTTAAAAATCTGTAATAAAGCTACTCTGCACTTGGTGTGGAATGCAAGTCAGAAGTGAAGCAAACTGGGCTAAATTTCTCTAATAACATCAGTTGGCACCACTAGAATTAAGATCCTGCCACTGTTTAAATAGTTAAGTGAATCTAGATCAGTCCTAAAAATGCACTTTGGGTTGAAAGTTGTCCTTGAATATTTTAGTGCAGGAACATCATTTAACATTCCAACACAAATATAATTTAGTTTTTAGAAAGTGGATGAGTTAATGTTCATAGATATTCCTTCTTCAGAAGCATAACTATATAGACATGGTTTTAGTCAAATGGCTTCATATTGCAGTGGCCAAGGATTACTGTGCCGGTGGGCTGAATTCTGCTCTTTATTACAGAGATGCAATTGATTGCAGTAGGAATAACATTTTTTAGGCAAATGTGCTAAACCAGGAATAACTCAGTAATTTTAAGAGCTCTTTGTAAACAGGAATTATAACAAACTGCAGAGAAGCTCTTTGTGTGTTAAGATTTAAGGTTTGAGTCTGCAAATGACTATACTGGTTACAAAAACTAATCTGCAGAATCTTCTTGGGGAATGGTGCTTTCATTGACAGTTATAGCAATTTAGGAAAAAAAAATAAATATGCAGACTCTGAAGTTAAATCCAATATACTTGAATTCAATAGTTTTCCACAAGAAATATTTTATAAGAACTACTTTGTTTTATTTTTGGTAATTCTTGTTTGTGGAAGAGTTTTAAATCCTATAGGCAAGAGTCTGTTTTGTGATGATTATCTCTTCTTGCACTTCTAAATAGCAAGAGACATGCAATTTTTAACTGTTTGATTGAACTTTTCATATCCTGTATTGAAAATAGAAATTAAATTTCAGTTTTCATCTTTATTTTTTCATAATAATTCTTCCAATAACAGACATGTACGAATAAAAAGGTCTGGAATAATTTCTACAGGAATATGGTAAGACACAGTCTCAAATAGGAACCATGGCATTTGTTTTTCTGTAGGCAACGTATTTTAATATCTATGGATCTAAAGCCTAAGTTTAATAGTTACAAGCCAGAAATATTTCAGTTATATTCATTTGGAAATATAATGGATTTGCTGTGCTATGGGCTTTTTTTTTTTCCTCCTGCCAAATGAGAACCAAGAGAAATAGAAGACAGTTAATTTTCAGGTTAACAAATATATTGTAATTTATGGAAGAGAGCAGAATTCTAGTTTGACAAAAATCATGGGATTTCCATTAACAGCATTCTATTAGCAGTAGTATCAAGCATGGCTTATTCAATAATTTGTACATAATATTATCATACCTATAATTATAAATTTTATATCAGATTTAACAATATAGTGTGAATGTTAAGGAACTGTCTCCTTGGCTGTGAGGAAGAAAAAAGGAATTATACATGGTTTCAAAAATCATCCATGTCCTGCAGAGTCTTGGCTTTAAATGAGCTTGTGTGCAAAAGGGCTACAAAACTGGGAACTGATTAAACACATGTATTGTCAGCAGAATAAGTACAGATGACAGTTAAATAGAGGGACATTCAGATGGCAGCTAAACTTTTTCCCAGAAGTAAACTTCATTAAATTGAATATATTATCACTACATTACAGTAATTTGAACGTCTCTATTGATTTCTTGATGTACCTGACCAATTAAGCTGGAGAAGACAAAGACACCCAAGAAATAATTCAGCAGTTGAAAAACTATCTCAAACAGGGTTTGTGGTTCTGGAAGGCCACCGATGGTGATTAAAGTACGAACTGCCCAGTAGTAACACCTCAGATACCTGTGGATACAGACAGCATTTTTGTAATTGACTATAGGTATTTATGTGGTTCAAGTTAAGCATATACATTCCTGAGTTGGGCCTTTCAGTGGTGCCTTTCAGTCCAAAAGACCTTCAGCATTTTTTATAAAGGCTTATGATTTTACAAATGATACAGTTGTGTAAATCATATTGAGCTGAATGTTCTCACTAACAGCAAAATAAGAATATATAGGAAATGCAGTGGTTACTTACTGTTCTCCAGTAACTCTATGCAGCATTACAGAAGACTTCTGTAACAAATTGCCAAGGTGGATATTATAGCATTAGAATGCTACCAGTGAAGATACCATGATGTTAAAAGCAGTGTAAAAGTGTTAAGAGACTTCCCAGAATTTATCTGTAGCATACTAGATGCACACGCATCTGAAGGTCTCTTCCATGGCTTCACTTGATGACACCAGTGTGAAGCCTTATGATGGTCATGACAAATGCAGTGTTGTCCTCCTCGTGTCCATTCATTTTCCTACCCCTTTAACCACACTGGTCTTCCTCCCACTCTGCATCTGAGCACTGTTCATTGGCTCTGCCTCCTGGGTTATGTCAAACAGAAGTTACATGTTTCCACAACCTGAATGTTAACCCAGCTTCTCCATGCCACTTCACTTATTCAGCACTGAAAGGTTGACTCTTGCATTAACTTCTCCTCGTGGCTGGCCTCCGCTAACCCTTCTATCACCTTAACAAACACTTTCTTGCCTTCTTCACTACTTTCCCTCATGCCTGGGTCTTCCATCTGTCCATCAATGGCTACCAAACCGCCTTGTTAACACCCTTGAAGACTTTTCTCAGAACTCTCTTGATCTAGAAGCCACTTATAGCAGTGAGCGATGGTCATTCGCTAAGACTCTGCTTCAATGTATGGCTTATATTGACTCCTTCCCTGTATCCATCTGCTGTCTCTTACTTCTCATACCCGAACTGTGAGCTCTTTGGCCAAAGACTTTTTGTTCTGTTTGTACAGCCCTCTTTGTACAGCCTTGTGCATGACAGAGCCTGTTGCATTCAAGCGGTGTATTTCTATTAGTATGATAACACAAGTTTATGAAAAATCATAAAGACCTGGACAGAATTTTTTTTTTAATTTTTTGAGGATAGTCATACTAACTCTTTTTTTTACATATATATATATATTAAGTGCCTTAGCATCTCTAAGCTTCTGTTTTAAATTTTGTCCTACAACATGGCACCACTAGTAATGGTGCCGTTAATAATATCCCCATACTGAGCAGCTGGGATTAATTAGTTCAAGTCATTGTCACGAATGTGCTATCATTTCCTTCTTTTCTGAGCTAACAAGTAATTGGTTTAGGAATATTTTTAAAGGCCCCCTATTAATTAGATTTTGACTTCCTAAGTCTCTGTACAATCAGACTTCAGCTTCACTAAACATTAGGAGTGGAAGTTCATTTTCCGTAATTGTACAATGAGATTTTCTATTATTTCCTCTATGACTATTGCTTCTGAAACAATGAAGATTCCTTCTATTTGTTGAATTTTATTGAGTTTGAAATTTAAAAAAAAAACACAGAAGAAATACTTTTGGAGATGTTTGTTTTGAAATAGACAGTCTTGCATGCATCTTCTCATGCCTACCCTGAATCTGAGGCCACCTGATCTGCTTGCAGACTTCAGACATACATTTTAATTTGGTGGCCTCCACTTTTAAACTCCTCTCATTAAGATATGAACTCCACTGCTATTAATGAATGGTCCATGTAACAATACAATTGGAGGGTCAGTTTTGTGCAAATATGAGGAAATAAACTCACAATAACAACCAATTCCAATGAGGGTTTTTATTTAAATCACTCGAAAATGTTTCCAAGTCTTTCACCTAAAATGTCAGGCTTAACCAAGGAATCGATTTTTGCTTTTCATTACAAAGTCACTTTTTTCTTGGTTGCAGATTAGTGAAGTGCAATAACAATGATCACTTTTACCATAGTTTTCTAGTTTTAGATTTTAACAGCCAGAACTGGCTGTTTTCATTCAAAGTCCTTAAGTCAAAAAATTCATTGCATATCTGCCATCATGTCATTTTTCCTTGTTAGGGGTGCAAAATGAACAGCTGGATTACACCACTATAATATTTTCACTTGGCTTAAAAAAAAATCATGACCTATGCATGCTTCCAGAAAAGTATGCATAAGTGGCAGCTTTCTCTTAGACTTCTGTAGCATAAATAAAGAGTAAGAAAAAGCCTCAGATCTGTTTTGGAAGAATTGCAGATTTAGGCATAAAATGATGTCTCTAGTTTGTCTGAGGGGAATTATCATATAAAGCATATTAATATCATATTCATTTGCCATAACTGAGAATGCTGTAGTGCTTGAAACATGTATAATTTATGAATATCAAAGTAAAGAAATTAACGTTACTTCTGTGCTAGTTACTATAGGAAACGAAAGTAATTAACCAACTCCCTCACCCCCAATGGCCTTGGATGCCAAACTTGCTAAGTCCACCATGATAGACAACATAATCTTCATTCTGGGAATGCCTACAAAGAATGAAAGCAGCTCCTCAAAGGAATTTAGGGGTCACATTCTTTGCAGTGTTGTATATCCAAAATGTAAGAGATTTTTTTTCAGGTCTGCCCACCCATTTCTGAAGATGTAGTTAAGACAGTATATTCTTCTGTAATTTTACTTCAAAAGAAACTTTCTGCTGGCAAAGTCACATGATATTCACTATCTCTTAGGCTCAGGTTTTATATTTTCTCCATTTGCGCATTTTATTGTTTTTATTTTAATCTGAACTGAAAGTTACACAGTTGAAATATAAAGCAGCTTTTTTCCCTAAGAAGGGGAGAAATTAGATTGTAAATTTTGTTTAAGGAAAGCCAGAAAAAACAGACTCCTATTTCAACAGTATTAGCAGCTCTGCTTCCTACTAGGTAGTGTCTGGAAACCATCATTGCTCACCATACGGCTTACTAGCCTGCTATAAAATTACTGTTGAAGCAAACAACATGAGACAAGAAAAGGATTTTCCCTCTGCACAACATAGAGAGTATGTTTATCCTTCAGGCAATCAAACTACTAGATTTTTCCCTAAAATAAGTCCTAGGTATGAAAACATTCAGAAACACCGCAAATAAGATACCTTGTAATATTATGCCAATAGAAATACCTTTTTCCAAAAAGTCCATTTTAGAGTACGCTAAACTTCTTACACGGTTTTGGTTAGTACAGGTAAATCAAATCTTTGTGCATGTGGCTATCAGATTTTAAGGTGGCAAAAATTAATTTTTATAATAAAAATATATTATAATATATATAATATATAATTATA